GAAGAGTGTGATGGTAAAATATTTCAGCTGGAAGCAGTGGCTTCAAAACAGGAATTCCAGCATGAAGAAAAAGGGCCTGCTTTTCACTTGCTTTCCACTTTGAAAACTCTTCCAAAAGCCTAAATTTGCGTCTGAAATCATGTGGCAATTTGATTTCAAAGAGAGTTTGAGAAAGACCCCCTTGGTCGTTCTGTAGATTCACTTCACTAGGACATTTCCCATTTAACCAGATATCTCGCAGCTTCTACAATGTCGTCTCTGATTGGTTATTCGATTTTAGTGGTAATCTTGGTAGTCGGCCAATGATAGGGCTCTATTCAATCACRTGTTATTAGCAATGAAAATATCAAAATGGCGAAATATCAAAATATCAATCGAAAGGCTACGTGCAAAAACTTCAAGGTTAGCTAGCTTAAATTATTTAAAATCACTCATAGAATATAGAATGTTATAGAATATTTTGTAATTTATAATAATTACTGACTAAAATTAATAGCGTTCTGGCTTTAGATAAGATTATAAGCTTAATATCATCTCCGTATCTTGTCTTTAGTATATTGTCTCCAGATTCACGTTAGACATCAAGGTTTGTTCATTTGATTTGATTTGATTTGGCATTTCATNTTACGTAAAACAGGAAAATTATTGATTGTTCTTTAATGTGCGAGTCAATTTACATACAAAATATTTACAGTCAATGAAATAACGAATAGTGAATACCATTTTATACCCTAAGGAAGCTAAAGAAAATGTGGGCAGAACTATACATGATCTTAAAACTGTTACAAGGTCCATGTATTTTTCCACAGATGGAGAGGCCACCTTGGAGGACATTCGAAAGAAGACGCGTGGAATAACCAAGACCGCCAAAGGATATAAAGTGGCTAAAGAACTTTTAGACAAGGAACTTCTCGCCTCGATTGAAAAAGGTAAAAAATGGCCTCATTCAGTTTATCATTTTAGGGAATTTGGGCTGGACTCAAAATAGCCACGGGAAGCTCGGAAGTGGACTTCCCAGAAAGAAATGGTAATTTATACGTTCRAGCTGAGTTGAGGATTAATATATGTACTTTAACAAAACCTACTATATTTTTACAGTTGATGAAATTGAGTCATGTCCAGCCCCTACACCATCACATTCAGGTAGAAAGGAATTCAAAGCTACTCGATGTCAAACGACTTTGGTACGATATTCTTTTTTTTTCTTTTGTTTTTTTTTAGAAGCTATTGTATCAAAGAGACGATTGTCCTTTTACCCAGAAGGTTCTATTGGCTTGCGATCTGCCAAGGGTATGTACAGCATACTTTCAAAATAAATATTTTCTCATCTCAGTTATTAGTATTTACACCTTTTCTTTTTTTAGTTGCAAGAACAGGAGCCGAGCAGAATGATGGGGAAAGTGCGGACAAGAGCGAGGAAGAGGAGGGTGGCTTGACTAACGATGAAGTAATTGAGGAGCAATTGGAGGACGTTTGCTACATCTGCAAAGAGGAAGACCCACCCACAAGGAAGC